CTTATTAGGTGATGATGAGTTTTGAAAAAACTTCTAATATATTTTGGCTACAAATCCTTTGATAAATATTATCGATATTTAACATGATATATCTTTAGATATCAAATTTATTCTTTATATAATTAAATAATCTATTTTCAATAAAATTTTAATAAAAGTTTAATATGCCATTGAGTGTTTTTTTTTTTTTTTAACAGCAAGAAAGTTTTATTATAGAAATTAAGCGACCGAGTGGTAGAAGGAAGTTACAAGCATACCCGAGACATGTCAGTACACCAATTAAGCCATTTGATTTGTTTACATTTTCTACTTTTATTTTTAAGCCAAAAACAAACATAAAATTGCACTATACTTGCCATGATTTTGGTCTGCTTAACCTTTTTGGTGAAGATACCATCATTTCTATAGCACCAAATGACCCAAATGAGAGCAAAAATAACAACATATTTCACTCTCCTTCGTGGTTTTCATAACGAACCATAGTTGATATCAAACATCTCATCAACCGACTATGGATTGATTGGGATGACACCAGAGGTTTGTGTTAAGTGCAACTTCCTTTACCATAGAGTATTCTTAATTAGACCTAATATATTTTAGTTTTATCATATAATATCAAATGTACATAACTTAATTGCATACAAAAAATGTTTATAAATATTACGATTCGTCTAAAGTTGACTGAAAACATAACCAAAAGTATAATGTAATATAGTCCAGGGTTAAATTTTAAATTTTTTTTTATCAACTCTAAGAGTTTAAAAGTAAATATGTTTCGTTTTATTATGTAGATTAATACGAAGAATGATTATGATTCATGTGTACATCATCGGTTCCGGTGTTAGAATCATTGTACCCATACGATTTCGGTCGTGTAATTATAGGACCCAATAAATATTGCCTATTGTTTGTGAACAAAATCTTGCTTTTTGTGAACAATCGATGTTGTTTGTCTAATTTAATTCTCCTTTTTTGAAACTCAATCGGTCCCACTTGGTTATATCGTATCACCTTTATTTAAAAACAAAAGTGTATGATTTCTTATTTTATCTGGTTAAGGTCTAAATCTTTAAAAATTTATGATTTTATCATTTTCAATAATTTTTGTTGTGGTTTTGATCCATCTTCCGTTAACTTTACCAATTTAGCTATTAACTTTACCAATTTAGCTATAATTTTTTTTAAATGATTATTTTATCCTCGGATACCATTTCTACATCAAACTACAATGACTATTTCTAACTGTTTCTTTTTATTTTTATTGAATTATTATATATTAATAAAATGTTACTTATAATATATACTATTTATATATTAATAAATATTGTTTTATTATATTATTAGTTTTTTTTTAATTTCTTTCTTATTGGATATTTTAATTGGATTATTATAAATGAATAAATATTATTTTTAATATATAACATCTATATATTAATAAATATTATTATATAGGATTATTAAATTATTTTAGTAAATTTTTTAATTGGAGTAATTATTTTTATTAGGTTATTATATATTAATAAATACTGTTTTTAATTTAAAATATTTATATCCAAATTAATATTGTATTATTATTAATTTCTTTTAGTTAATTTTTTTTGATTAATTCTTTTTTTTATTAGAATATTACATTAATTTATTATTTTCTATCTAATAAATATTATTTTGTTTCATTATTAGTTTATCAGTTTATTTTTAATTTATACTATTAATTCTTTTTTATTTTATTAGTTCTATCACAAAGTCGTCAAAATACATGAAAACGTTGTCTCTCATCATCGAAAATAGTCAGGATCACCACAAAACATTATCATCAGACGTCGAACAGAAACTCACCAACCTTTTACAACCAAAGATGACGGTAGTCACATGTGATAACACCACTACTATCACTCGATCACCACCACTACTTTTAATGTTTATAGGAGTTTGTTGTGCATTGTGTGAGATATGGAGGATTTTAGTAGATTGTGAAGAGGTTGTCATAAGTGGCTACCATGGATGTTGGATGGAGAAAGTTAGTAGGGTTTCGTCGGGCCTCCGATGAAGGTTTTTGGCGATGATCCCAACGATTTTAGTTAACGAACAGGCTACACTTTTGCGTATTCCGCTAACTCTGTGGTGGAACTAATAAAATTAAAAAGAACTAATATTATACAATAAAGATAAACTAATAATATGATAAATAATATTTGTTATTTAAAAAAGTAATAAATTAAAAGTAATATTCCAATAAAAATAATTAACCCAAAAAAATGTAATTAAATAATTAACCAAAAGAAATTAAAATCTGATAATGTAGTATTTATTAGGATATATGATTATAAATAGAATATAATATTTATTAATATGTAATAATCTAACAAAAAAGAATTATTACACTTAAAAAATTAACTAAATAAATTAATAATCCAATAATATATATATATATATATATATATATATATATATATGATGAGATTATTGCGCTATTAGATCCATAGGTTCTAAATAGAAAAACAAGAATAAAACAATCAAAGAACACAAGAATGGACCAAAAGATGTTGAATGATTAATATCTCACACCTCAGAAGAGTTTGATGAACAACTTCGACTGTAGAGGTGTGCTTAGGGTTACAATGCAAAAGCTATTAATGAGAACGTTAACCCTAAAGCTATACATGCATGCATAATATATAAGCAAACCCTAATGCTTAAACCACGGTTGGACAGGTCCAAATTGGGTAATCAAAATATTAATATTAAGCCCATATGACGCAACACTCTAGACCCAACAATATTATATTAAAAATAAAATTTATTCATATATAATAATTCAATTAAAATATCCGATAAAAAAGAAATTTAAAAAATTAACTAAAAGAAATTAATAATATAATAAAATAATATTTATTAATATATAAATAACATATATTGTAAATAACATTTATTAATATATAATAATTTAATAAAAATAAAAAGAAGATGTGTAGAAATGATCCTTGTAGGTTGGTTGAAGAAATGATCCCTAGGTAAAATAATCATTTTAAAAAAATTAACAACTAATAGAACCCAAAATCACAACAAAAAAAATATGAAATATAAAACTTTTCTAATGCCTAGACATTAACCACACGTGTAAGAAACCAATGGACAATTTTTGCATTTTTGTCTTATTTAAATTTTAAAATGACAAACCCTCAACTAAGAGAATATCTCAAATATTCATATTTCCTCAAAAACGAATGTTACGTTAACGAAGAGAGTATTAATAATGAAAATCACTATTGGTTGTATAAATTAAGTTAATTTAACTAAATTATAGAAAGATGATGGAAATAATATAAGTATGAAAGTATGAAATATGTAACTGATAAAGTTTTATTCAAATATGTAACTAATTAAATACAAAAGCACATTGACTTTTCTTATCTATTTTGGCTTTATCTTTTTTAAAAGTTGATACACATCATATTTGCAATTCCTTTTGTGATGTGATTACAACTAATACTATATTTATATCATATGATTTTGGTCATATGTTTTTCTAATCATTACAAATGACACGAAAGTTAATTATTATGTCTTGAAGTTGTTCAGTTAATTATTATGTCTTGAAGTGGTTCAGTTAACCATATTAAAGTTGCTGTTGACCATATCTTAATTACCAAACCATTCTAGAGTGTGTAAATGTTCAAGAAAATAAAAATGAAAACAACCAAAGAACTAATATTAAATTATTATTCGCATATTAGTAATTGCGAAAAAAATATGAATAACTCTTAAGGATTTTTCTTTGTGTAAACGGAAGAATCCGAGAAATAAGTATTATAAGAAATTTTTAGCTAAATTTTTATATTTTTAACTCAATGATGATTAAGTTGTTTTATTTTGTTAACAGAAAAATAATAAAATACCTGCAATTGTTTGTAGAAAAGGACAAAAGCCCGAGAAGAAATCGTTTACACCTTTGATATATTTATCATTAACTTTAGTTTTTATCTTCTAATCATCATGTTATTCTCTTTATTTTTGACGTATTAAAGATAAAACCATGACATTTTTGAATAAAAGAAAATGCAGAATTTGATCATAGTATAATATATTACTAAAAGATAATATCGTAAGTAAAAAAAAAGATACCCTACTACAAAATCAAAAATAAAATACGGTTGAAAAAGCAATTAAAATACGGACATTGAAACGTATTCTAATAGAACGTGTTTTATTTAAAGAAGCAATAAAATACGGTTATAGAACCGTATTCTATTTAGAAGATATAATACGGTAAACTATGCATAGAATACGGTTGTAGAACCGTAATCTATAAGAATATAGAGTACGGTAATCTAAATAGTATAATACGATTGCGGAACCGTAATATATGAGAAGATTTAGTATGCTAATCTAGGAAATAGACTACGGTTGTAGAACCGTAATGTATATGTCTATTAATAAAATAATCAAAAATTAGATAGTTTCAAAACAAATTATACCGATCTTCCGTTTGATACATGGATATGTGTGTTTATAAAGTTCAGAAATTTAGTCATGAGAAATTATAAAATTGACAACTACAATAAAATATAAAAATAAATGCATCAGCTTTTACGAACAATAATAATTAGTCATTCCAAATAATAAAAAGTAACTATAACAAAATAATAGTTAAAAATAAAGTACTAAGACACAATCATACTAGACTCAAACGACAAAGGAGAAGGACCATTGTTTTCATTACAAACCTATGACACCTAAAAAAAGTAAAAAACAAAGAAACTTCTTCTGTCTTTTTGCACCTTTCAGATGACTGTGGCTCCATTATTCAAATTGGACTCGAACCAACCATCAGCAATGAAAAGCTAATCAAGAACCAAAAGTAAAGATAAGTGAAGATATTATATTTTTATATGTAAAAACAAAACATATGATACATGACTTTGTTTAAACCATAGAAGTTATTCAAAATAAATCCAATAATAACAAGTGTAGAAAATAGAACTAACCATTAAACACAGGCTTCATTTCATATATTTACTTTGAAAAGTAGTCATCCACGCATTAACCACATCATCCAACAACTTTTCTGTAATGGGGTTTAGATCATTCCAAAGGTTCTATATGCAGAATAAAACAAAAACTCTTATTGAACAAAAGAGACAGCTTTGGTGCAATAGGCAAAATGAAAAAACAATATTACAAAAGTTACTTACATTCGGGAATGCATATTGCCGATACATGACAAATTCACGCATCCATTTCAACACATAATAGCCACATTCCCAATTAGACAATTGTTGGTTGCACTAAAAAAATTAACATCACAGGTTTTCTTATGTTATATATATATATATATATATATATATATATATATATATATATATATATATATATATATATATATATATATATATATATATAGAGAGAGAGAGAGAGAGAGAGAGAGACGTCAATTACATCAGCAATTGTCCATGTCATTGGATGTGATGTTTCAAAATCTTCATTAAACATTTCAACCGCCCTAAAACAAAAACAAGTAATATTGTTACGATTTATAGAAAGAAATGTCATCCCAAAATATATAAAAAATATCTTACTTTTCGACATGCTTTATGACTTTGTAGGAATCAGTCGGATTTCCTGACTTCTTGATGGAATCCAAAATGTAACCAGTGCGTTGATAAGGGCAAATCACAAGCAGCAACCAATGTCGACTAGAATGTTTAAAGTGCTTAGGATAAAAATCAATGAACAAAAAAACATACAAAAATTATTATAGTAGACTATAGTACCTTTGCCAATATGGGGCAAGAAAAAAGTCTTTTTCTTGATGGAAATTCATTGTTTCAACGATTTCAGTTGCAACACGATTGTTGTTTTGGTTTGTCTTGTCCTACTCATCATGGATACATAATGTTTCAGTGATCGACTGTGGGTTTATAAATGCACACCTGTTAACCCCACTTGTTGCAAGAATGGAATGTAGCACTCTGAAACAAAATAGTATATATTATAAAAATAAAATATTTGAAAAGTTTAATATAATAAATATTAATACTCTTACATTTGATACCAAAGTATACAAGTGATGTCAATCTCTTCACTATTCAACATCTCCAAAATCACATCATGCCTAATGTATGTTTCAATCCTCCCCGGCCCAAACATACCAGGTTCTGACTCAACATGAAAATCTTCAACAAATTTGTTGCTTGTAAAAGTATTATACCATGATTGAATGACCGGTCTGCCTTGTAGTTTCTTTGGTGTCACAAAATTTTGTGTTGCCCTCTTTGCAATTGTTGGCAACCGCTTGGCTGCTTGCTTTTTTTGGTATTGTTGGACCTGCATTAACAGACCATTTGACTGTTACATAGGCTTCAAGAATTTCAAGGGACTAATACTAGTTTTGAGCAATTACCTGGTTATCCATAACAGAGGCAACTTTTTTAGTGGGAGGACTTGCATCTTTTTCCACCGATGGAGACGAGTGGGAGGTCTAGTAGATAGTCAATGTAAGTGATTAATATAATTATGGATGTACTGCTACAATATTAGATGAAAATTAAAGGATATACATGTATACCTTAGTAAGAAGAATCGCATGTCTTGGCCACTGAATAAAACTATAAAGTGCTTCCCCTAGGTTATCAGCATCACTGGTCGGTACAGGAATATGGAGAGAATGATAGTCACCATAGATTATATCTACTGATACCTTCACATGATCTTTTTGTAAAGGTGTTGAATGTACTATCCCATTTCCAAATGGGTGGACGCGTCCCTTGGCACATCTTCTTTGCACCATGCCGTAAGGTAGCAACAATTCACACTCTGTAGGAACCTGAAACATACATCATGTAGTATATATGTAGCTAGTGCCTTTATATAAGTAATTATTTATGTTATACAGATACACAATACGTACTGATATTTTATCTAATGCATCTACCGCTGGTGTCGATTCAAGACTAGTTTTGTTCACCACCGGGCTTGGGCTTGTAACAGTGCCATCATTATTCTTAGCAATCTCACGTCGTAATGAAGCGATCTTATCTTCCATGTCAGCAATCGATTTGGCATGTTCCTCTTGCTTAGCCTTCATCTCTTTCAAATCTAGTATCTCATGTTTTTTCCTATTTTTCTCTTTAATCCCTAGTATAGATTGCTTCAATCCAACATTGTACCCGATTGCCCTTATACGACCAGGATGCTCTGGTCCTAAAACCTTAACCAATAGATCGGATCCTGGTCTAATCTCCAAGTCTCCTTGAGATACTTGCTTTTCTTTCTCTACCTATACATGTAAACAACATGATCTTGAGAACAAATACCACATAAGAAACACTCTTTCAGGGAAATCATAGCAAAATTAAAATAAATGGATTATTATTGTACAATATTATCCACTAAGGGCTCCATATCAGGTGTTACAACCAATGCCCCTGAGGAATCGCGTTTTAACCGAGCAAATATATAATCCCTTGCTCGTTCGCTTGATATCTGGTGGGCTTTTGTCAATACACCAGACTCGATCTCTTGCTCCCATCGAGGTCGCATGCCACGATACCCTTGTGGGCCTAAACGGGGCGGGTTCTTGTTCATCATCACACTTGCTGTTGCTTTCACTCTTATTTCCTTCATATATGAAGAACAAAATTACAAACATTACAACATAAATAAACTCACCAGTAAGAAAGTAAATGTGTCAATTCTTATGAGCTAATGGAGAAAATGTAGTAAATAATTACCAAGAGTTTCATACCTTAAATTCGGGCTTGGACTTTTGCTTTACAAAATCATTCCACATGTCTTTGTCTAAGTAGGGGTATTTTTCTAACGGGTCAATGTGTTTGTCCATGAACTTGACAAGCTTGGACTTGTAGCTCCTCCATTGTTGATTGCAAACTTTAAGTACCTGAGCTTTGTAATCATCATTTGGTATGTTCCAGTGAGTCTGTAGTAAAAAGTGTACAACAATTATTATTAACATATATAATTATATTCAATAAAAACACACATAACAAGTTTTAGTTATTATACCTTAATATTTAACCACAACTCATCAATCTCAGGTTGAGGCACTTCATTCCACTGTTTTAGGATAGAAATCCTAGTTCTCACAGTGACTCCACAATAGGTGGTGAATTCAAATCTGTTATTTCCGATAGTTTGACCTAACTCATTAAACTCAATTTGTAAATGTACTAATTTGTGTTTTGGCTTATCCTTTATAAGAGAGACACTCCTCCCTTTCCTTTGTGGGCGACTCATTGTATTCCTACAGGAACAAATAAGATATCAAGACTAAATAAACTGTCAGGAGTTTTCAGAAAAATTACATCTTATCAAGTCATAAAAACACAATACATATCAATAAAAAAAACAGAGCAAATATCAGTAATAAGATAATCATAGTACATATCAACAATAAAAAAAATAGCATTTTCACTTGTTTGTTGTCTTACATACTCCTAAATTACTCAAAAACCAAAACTTTGATAATTTTATCACAATACCTTCTAAAGAGATGACAAATTTTTAAATGTTCGTCTGGACTTTATCGTGCAAAATAGAAATTATATAGTATCTGGAAAAGACATTTTTTTTCCTCTATACTCGAACCTGCGAACAATTAAAAGTAAGGAACATTCTTTTTCTTACCTCGAATCTTAGGTAATACCTGCGCACAGTGGTGAAAAAACTCAGATTTGACCGCAAACGGTTGTGGTGCTGCAACAATGGATATCGATTTTGAGAGGGAAAGCTGAAAATTGACTGCTGTGAAATTTACTTCTGTAAAATTAGGGCTTAATTATGCCTATAAACTTAATATCGATTTTAAGAGGGAAAGCTCAAAATTTTGGCGGGCGAGATAAAAGGATTGTGCAGTTATCACACATGCTACATGGCGGTTATCAATCGAAACCGTATTTCTTATAAAAAAAAAAAAGAATCGTAGAGCCTAATTAATCTATGATGATTTTATATTTAAAGTAAAGAAAGTGCTTTGATATGTGCTAAAAGGGGGTTTTGAACAAAGCGACGTCTACCGCTCATAAATATTTTGGGTAAAAAAAATTTCCATAAATTTCCCAAATGCATAAACTATTAACTAAATATTGGTTGATGGTTAATCATTTTATGCCGATTTTTTCTTAACTTTAATAAACAATTCATGTAGTAAATATAATTATGAAATGACTAAACTGTACTAATGGTCCCTGCGGTTTGCTCAAAATTGCCACTTCGGTCCAAAAATGTTTGGACTAGCACTACAGGTCCAAAGTTTTCATTTTGTTGCGAGTTTGGTCCGATTTGTTTTGAATTTTTTTAAATGACGAGTTTGCCCTTCATTTTTCATTTTTTTATTTTTTTTAATGACTTTAATGTTTTCTAATTAAAAGAATAATAAAAATAAAATTAAACCCTCAACGACTCACCCTTCTATTCTATTCCCTGCTACTAGACCCCTTCTTCTCCATTCTTCATCGTCATCTGGTAAAACCACCACCACCGGTCAGCAACGCCGCCATCGGTCAACCCCTAGAAGCATCACCGGTTACCACCGCAACCACCCTTGATTTTTCGGTCAACAACACCACCACTGGTCAACACCTCTCTCTCTCTCTCTCTCTCTCTCTCCCTCAATCACTTGTCGGTAAAATGTGAACAACCACCACTTCCACATGCCGGAGCCGCCACCATACCTCTCTCTCTCTCTCTCTCTCTCTTTTCTCTCTCTCTCTCTCTGTCTCTCTCTCTCTCTCTCTTTCTCTCTCTCTCTCTCTCATGATGAAACCACTATCTTCTTCAGATGAATACATGGACAAAATTCAGAAATTTAACATATAAAAACACATACAAAATCCAAAGAAAAGAGAGAGGGAGAGTGTTAGTATGTTAAAAGTGAGAGGGTGGGTTGAAGGTTTAATTTTATTTTTTTATTTTTCTTTTAATCAGAAAACATTAAAGTAATTAAAAAAATAAAAATAATAAAAATAAAGGGCAAACTCGTCATTTATAAAAATTCATAAAAAATCATACCAAACTTGCAACAAAATGAAAACTTTGGACCTGTGATGCTAGTCTAAACTTTTTTGGACCAAAGTGGCAATTTTGAGCAAACCACAGGGACCATTTGTGCAGTTTAGTCTTATGAAATTGATATTTAAGATGATGATCTAATAAAATAATGTATAAGGTAATAAGGCGGTAATCAAAGATAGTATATGACATGAAGCATGTCGTGGCATTGAAAGTTGAGTTTTGAAATGTATATTAGAATATTGAAATTATTTTGGATAATTTAAGTAATTCTTATTCAAAACACTTTCTAAGTTTGTAATTTCGATCCCGTTGGCATCAAAAAATCAAATTTGAGATAATTCAATAGAAATACAATCTCGATTTAAGGTGAAATTTAACATCAAACACATAATACCTTGCTTTCATTTTGTGTTCTTGAGATAGTATTTTGTATTTTTGCATAGAAACATTTTATCCTTGTGACCTACTACCGTAAGTAAAAAGGTAATATATTATACAAAAAGAAAAAGAATAAATGTGAACAAAAAAACTTCCCCCTCCCCCCACCCCCCCCCCCCCCCCGCCACACACACCCACCTCCAACAACCCCATACATCACCACAACTGCCCTCCACCATTACTACCACCACAACCTCCGAAACTAGTACCACCGCCACCACCACCACCTCTACCACCGCCATGGAAATCGCGTACAATAGCCACCACCACCACCTTTACCATCAGTGCCACCACCTTTACTACCACTACAACCTTTTCCACTGCCACCACTACCACCCACCTATTCCACATCCATCACAGCACTACCATCACTGCCTCCAACACAACCACCAGCTCCGGTGGAAGTGGAGGTAGTGGTAGCTGTTGCGGTGATGGTGGTGGTGGCGAAGGTGTAACACCGAAAACATGGTATGTCTGAAAACCCTCAAGAATTTACGTTTTAGCATAATTGGTACCTTGAGTATGATGGGTGTACCTATGAGTATGCTTAGCGTACTCTGCATAAATGATCGCAGAGGAGCCTCACGTACGCAGGGCGTACGTGAGGGTACATCTGGTGTAATGCCCGCGTTTCCAGGCTAGGCATTATCATTGATGTAATAGTCTAGATTAACCCTTGTAACTCTTTTCTGGCCGAGATTTTAAGGGTGTCACATCTGGCGTACGCGTCGAAGGGTCAAAACCCTAAATCCCAAACTTGCCCCCTATTTAATCATCCTTAGTCTCTTAGATCAAACCCTATCAGCTTCTTGAGCCTCTTTTCATCTACTTTCATATGTGGTATTATGTGTGAGAGTTTTGAGTTTAAGGAGAGGGTTTTGGTAGGCATTTTAGAGTTCTTTCAAGAAGGAGAAGTAGTTGTACAAGCTTGGAATGAATTGGTGCTACAAGATCATGCCTAATCGCCACCATCACCACCACCTCTACCACCGCCGCAGAAACCGCCTACAACAGCCACCACCATCACCTCTACCATCAGTGCCACCACCTTTACTACCACTACAACCTTTTCCATCGCTACTACTACCACCACCTCTTCCACCTCCATCACTACCACATCCGCCATAACCATCACCGTCACCGCCTCCAGCACAACCACCAACTCCGGTGGATGTGGTGGTGGTGGTTGTTGCGGTGGTGGTGGTGGTGGTGGCGAAGGTAGAGGTGGTGGTAGAGGTTGGAGGCAGCGGTGGTGGAGGTAGTGATGGTGGAGGAGGTTTTGGTGGTAGATGAGGTCGTTGGAGGTCGTGGGGGAGGTTCTTTTTTTGTTCACATTTGGTCATTTTTTTTGTACACTATATATCATTCAACTTGTTGAATTGTTCACATATTACCCTTTTACTTACGCTAGCAAGGTCACAAGGATAAAATGTGAATAGGTTCGACAAGTTGGATAGTATATTGCGTACAAAAAAATGAAAATGACTGAATATAAACAAAATCAATAATCTGTTACCCTGAGACATTTTCCCTTTTTATTACTATATTATAATAACTGAATTCCATTGAACTACTACAAAGAGTATAGTTATAACTCAATTTCATGTCATTCAAAAAATAAAGAAATAAAATAAAATAAATTCAATTTCATTAATGAGCACCATTGTAACTTAATTTAATTTGAGTATAAGTATGGTAATAAATAAAGGCTTGATAGTTTTGAAACAAAATAAATATGAATCAACTAAAAAATATTCTCTTCGTCATATACTCTCATCAATTTTGTGTTCCTGCAAAAAAAAAATAATAAATATATAAATAAATAAAATAAGATCACTATACATTTATAATCAAACATTATTTAAAAAAAATAGATGGTTTAATACCTTCATCATTAGGTTGAACAATATACCCCTTCATTATGGTCTGATCTTAAGTAAACATTATTATCAATGTTAACATCTGAAGATGGAATACCAATGGAAAATGGAGGCAGCTCATCAAATTGGTCATACTCTTCCTCGTCCTCAACATTTTCAACCCCAAGTATACGCCGTTTTCCATGTAGGACAACGTGCCAGCTCGAATCTTTTGGGTCCTCAACAAAGAATATTTGCTTCACTTGTTTGGCTAGAATGAAGGGTTCTGTTGCATAACCCTCTGTGGAAAGGTTGACAAGTGTGAAACCGTCGTCATCAACCTTAACACCTCGTCGGTTGTCGACCCACTTACACTTGAATAAGGGCACTATAATGGAGGAATCATATTTCAATTCCCAAATTTCTTGAACAACACCATAATATGAGTCTTTAGCTATAATTGACCTTCCTTCATGAGTCGCACTAGAGTAGTCAATCGATGTGGCTATTAATGTGACTACACTATTCTGTACTGTACTCTTTTTATCACGTTCTTCAGTGTAAAACGTATATCCATTAATATCATAACTTTGGTATGTTGACACCGCATTTAGTGGACCATACCCCAATATTTTCAAAACACCAAGAACACACACTAAGTGTTCTTGTCCTTTTATCTCAAATCAAGCCTTCTAATAGTAAGTGCTTCCATCCTTGAGTGTTATTGAGCTAGAATTACATTTAAACATCAAGAATTTATGCCAAGAACACATGGTTAAAGGTGTTCACGGTCCATGAATGTTCTTGGGCCGTAAACATCATAAATGGCACCAAAGTGTGCCTAAGTCCCTTGTTTAGTCCTAGTTTGATGTTTAAGCCTTCCATGAATTGATTAAACCTTCCTTTGATGTATCTAAGCCTTGAAAA